TGGAAATTATTAAACAATATCATTGATATCACACCCAAGTCAAATCTTGTTGAAGATTATTAAACAAATAACAGGAGGAATATATACATAGGAAACTGTCAGACATTCAAACCAAATTCAGAAGAGGCCATGGCATGAGCAATACCACTGTTGATGTCAGACAGATCTTAGCTGAAAGAGAGTATCAGAAAGATGTTTACTTGTGTTTGTGCAAAGACATTTAACTATGTAGATCATAACAAATCATGGCTAACACTGAGAAGAACGGGAATCTGAGAACACTTAATTGTGCTTGTGTGAAACCTGTACACTTATCAAGAAATAGCTGTAAAAAGTGAACAAGGGAATACTGCATGGTTTAAATTTAGGAAATGTGGTTGTCAGGGCTGTATCCTTTCTCAATACTTATTCAATCTGTATGTTAAGCAAATATTTCTAGAAGCTGGACTATATGAAGAATAATGTGGCATCAGTACACATACTTTTTCTGAAAAGAAGGATAAATAAAACCTAATAGATCTCTGAAGTAGGCTGTAGGGTGTTGCTCTGATAACCCAAAGGGGGCACCTCCCTGGTTCAAATCCACCAGAGGCTCCACAGGAGAAAAATGGGCCATCTTCTCCTGTGCAATTTATAGCCTCTGAAGACTTACTAGAGGGTCAGCCATGAGTCACTTCCAACTCCATGGAAATGAGTTTGAGCTTCTGTTTAAACAGAACAGAAGGCAGCTCTGGTATGTAACCCACTGGAAGTTGTGGCGCTAACCCAAAGGTCAGAGATCTCTGGCAGTAAATACTCTAGCTACCCCCTTGGGAGAAAGATGGGTGATCTCCTCTCATTAGATTTACAGCCTTGGAAAATTAATGAAGAATCAGTTATAAGTCAGGTTCCAAATTGACTGCAAGTAGTGTAAGTGAAGAGATCAAGAAACTGGGAACAGAGTATAGGAAAGGAGAAGAGGGTTAGCAATGGATATTATGCTATGAGTATAATTTTTCATGGGGTTTCAAAAACTTTTATCCATGTTAATACCTTACATTTAAAAAAAAAAATAAATCACAAGAATGGGGAGGAAAAAAGCCCTAATACCAACATAAACTAATGAATTCTATTGTTGTTGTTGGGTGTGTCATGTCAATTTCAACTTTTAGCAACCTCATGTGACATAGTAAAACCCTATAGGGTTCTTGTTCTATTTCTAGAAATCCTTCTAAGACATCACTGAAAATGCCAAGCATTTTACTAATATCAAATTGATAACTTAACCATACAGACAAAAACACAGATCTGAATTCTATTTGGAGCACAGAATCTGTATGTCCCCTGAGGGGGATGAGTTCTGAGTCAGACAGATCTGCTGAAAAATCCTGAATTTTGGTAGTTTTGCTTGGTGGTGGTACTGGGGGGAGAAATTACAAAAGTTTTTGTAATGTGTTATATGTGTTGTAGACCTTAGTGAACAGACATTTGCAATAAAGGAGAAAGAGAAAGAAAATAAACTAAATAAACTGAGGGCGATGTAGAAAGAGCTAATACACATGAATATACACCTGAATAGCCAGATAAAAATTTTCATTCTGATATAGCAATTAAAAGAATCATAATTCTAATATATTAGCTTAAAAATTACATCCACTTAAGGCATGTATTTAAAATGTATTAAAGTATTTATTGGCAGAAAACTATTGTTGCTGTTATGTGCCATCAAGCTGCTTATGACTTATAACAGCTCTGAACCCTGCTCTACTCTGAGGCACTGTTTCTGACACATCTACCCCCATTACCATCGAGGATCTTCCTCTCCTGCGCTGTCCCTCCACTTTACCAAGCATGATGTCCCTCTCCAAGGACTGATCCCTTCCTGCAACATACCCAATATATGTTAGACGGAGCTTCAGAATCCTTATATTCATATTAAGAAGTATCAGAAAATCATAAAAGGAAGAAGCCAAGTAGCAAAGCTTCTGCTAGAAAGGATTTTATATGATTGTTTTGTAATTGAAAGTGATGAGATCAGTTTCACTTGGTATTCCCTACTCCTGGTCTCAAATTCACATTGTGTTTGGTCTTCAAACAGCAAAACTTTAAGAAGCAGGATGGAAACTGCCTTCAGGTTTTAAAGTGTGCTTGCAGAAACATGGGTAGAAAGGAGTTCCTGCTCTTGGGAGCAAGTGCCCAAGCTCAACCAGACTTAGGAGAGAAGCTCCTTTCCTAGGAAAGGGAATGCGATAATGAGGCCAGATGGAATGTTAACCTAAATATATGATTTCATCAACTCAACTGCTCTCAAAATTAGCTGTACATGAGTGCTTTAAAAATTCCCAGATCAAATCCCTCTTGGAAGAGCTGAGACAACTGGCTAATAGCTGCCTCATGATGCTAGGTGCAGCCCAGGTGGATAGGCCCCATCAAATCCATTCATAGCCAACCGCTACACAGCCCTATGCCCACAGCAGATCGGATCCACGTGGTCCGGGTCAGCTGGGGATGAGTGAAGGGTGCTATAGGCATGGCTGACGTACACAAGCTTGGGTCTCCTAGCACAGCTCTTATGACATGCGGGTTTGCCCACAGCACATCAAAGAATTCTAGAAACTTACGGACTGACCTCCCGCAGGGCTTTGGACTGAATGTGAATGGCCATTTCTGGCACATTGATGAAGGACCATTTGATTTGGATGTCCTCTCTCTTTTCCTGCATAAGCAGCTCCAGCTGTGGAAAAAACAAAACACACCACAATTTATTATTGGAAGTCTTCTTGAATATGTGCATGTGTGCACATAGGTATTTATGTGAGAGCATGTATCAGACTATTTTTTAGTATGTGTGTACATGAGTCTCTTCATATGTACATATATTTTAAGTGGGTGTATATATATGTGTGAGAATGTAAGCATGTATTGTAGACTATAGTGTGTATGTGTTTGCACAAGTGTTTGTGTGTGTTACTGTATATGCTGCTGTGTGTTTGTTACTGTGTGTTTGTTAAGCTATGTGTGTAAGAGCATATGTCTCTATGTGTGAATGTATGAGTTTAGAGGAGGCATATGAGCCTGTGGTATGTGTATCTGTGAAAGCATGTGTGATGTAGTGCATCTGTGTTGGGAATGCAGATATGCATATGTTTGTGTGCCTCTGTACACACATATATGTGTGTCTGTGTGTGTGTGTGTATGCTATGTGTATATGTGTTAAAGTATTCATGTATTTTCATAAAAAATTGCTTAACCTTTGTCTTGGCATAATATGTGTTTTCAACATGGGAAAGAGGGTCTCGCACTCCTTTTACTTGCCCCTTCTATTATCAGGACCCTTCCCCAGCCAGCACATTCCCGTACCTTGACCCACCCTCACAGAGGAACCTCAACTCTGGTGCAGACTAGATGTCATTATAACGCTAGTCTTTTTAAAATGACAGTTTGGCTGTGGCTGTGTTTGTATATCTCTTTCTGGTAGAATCACCTAGGTATGAAGGAATAACAGAAAGTAACAGAAGACAGTCCATGATACCATACTTCTAGTCCTGAGCACTGAGGCTCCCTCCCCTCAAAACCCCTAAGAAAGCTCACCATTCCTGTCACCTCTTCCTAGGCCACAACTCTGATCCTATCTCATCAGCCCAGTTCAATTATAGTCGGCAGAATAACAGCTCTCAAAGTTATTAATTTTTAATTCCTGGAACCTGTGAGTATGTCATGTTCCCTAGCAAAAAGGGCTCCGCAGATGTGACAGAGGACACAGACCATATCATCCCAGATTATCTGGGTGGGTATAATCTAACCAAATGCATCTTTAATAATGGAGGAGGGAGGGAGGGAAAGAGACGTCACTAGCTTTGAAGATGGAGGAAGGGGTCTAAGCCATGGAATGCAAGTGGCCTCTAGAACACAGGGCCCGCCTTCAGTTTACAGCCACCAAGAAAATGGGACTCTGGCCTTACAACTGATTTCTACCAACAAACACAATGGACAAGGGAACAGATTTTTCTCAGAGTTTCCAGAATGGAAGGTCGTCTGCAGGCACCTTGATTGTAGCACAGTGAGTGAGGCCTATGTTGACTTCTGCTCTCCAGAATAACAGCATAATTAACATATGTTGTTTTAAGCTAAGTGTTGGTAACTTGTTACAGCAGCCACTGGAAACTCATATATCGGCCTTCATTTTCAACCATTTTTTTTAAAAAGCAAAATTCTTAGCTGTTCCTATTAACATTTGCCATCCCCTGTGCTTACCCCCAAAACAGAAGAGAAGGAAAGAATAGCACTGGACTATACTCCTGAAGGCTTGTTGAAGCTAGAGCTAAGATCATAAAAATGACTTCTAGCCTCACAGCCATTTCCACTATCCTCTCCATTGCCCTAAAACAGGAGCCATAGAGTCAGTTCAACTCCTGGGGACCCATGTATAGCAGAATAGAACTACGTCCATAGGCTTTTCAAGAGCTGATATTTTATAAATAGATGACCAAGCCTTTCTTCTGAAGGGTGGACTCAGGCTCATAAAAGATACACATAGCTATTTTTATTTATACACATATATGTATATGTATATGTATATGTATATGTATTGTTGTCGTCGTTGTTAGGTGCTGTCAAGTTGCCTGCAAATTCATAGCTCTATCCTGTGCCAATATCATGTCTCTGACACTCCTACCCCCACTACCCCAGTCACTGAGTCAATCCATCTCATCCAGGGTCCTCCTCTCCTGCGCTGTCCCTCCACCCTCCCAAGCGTGATGTCCCTCTCCAAGGACTGGTCCCTCCTTTCAACATGTCCAAAGTATGTCAGATGAAGCTTCAGAATCCTTGCCTCCAAGGAGCAGTCTAGTCTTACCTTCTCTAGGACGAACCTGTTTGTTCTTGTGGCCGTCCATGGTATATTCAATACTCTTCAACACCATGGCTCAAAGGCATCAATTCTCTTCTATCATCCTTAGTCACTGTTCAGCTCTCTGATGCATAGCAAGTAGTTGCAAAGACCATGGCCTGTATCAGGCACACCTTAGTCTCCACACTGATATCTTTGCTCTTCAGTACTCTGGAGAGGTCTCTGACAGCAGATTTTCCCAATAAAATTTATCTTTTCATTTCCTGGCTGCTAGTACCAAGAGTGTTGACTGTGGAGTCAAGCAAAATAAAGCTGTTAACAATCTCAATCTCTTCATCATCAATCATGACGCTGTCAATTGACCCAGTGGTGAGAATGTTTGTTTTATTGATATTGAGCTTCAATCTGTATTGAAAGTTGCAGTCCTTTACCTTCTGCAGCAAGTGCATCAGGTTCTCCTCAGTTTCAGCAAGCAGGGTTATACCACATGCATAATGCAAATTGTTGTTGAGTCTTCCTCCAATTCTAATGCTACTTTTCTCCTCATGGAACCCAGCCTCTTGGATAATCTGTTCTGCATACAGAATGAAAAGGTATGGAGATAGGACACATCCCTGGTTCACACCCTTCCCAATTTTGAACCATGCAGTATTTCCTTGCTCTCTTCTGACAAATGTCTCCTGGTCCAAGTGTAGGTTTTGCATCAGCACAATCAAGTGTTCTGGGATTCCCAATCTTCTCAGAGTTAGCCACAGTTTGTTGTGATCCACACAGTCAAATGTCTTTGCACAGTCAATGAAACACAAATAGACTTTGGTATTTCCTGCTTTTTTTTTATTTTATTTTATTATTTTTTGTGTGAGTGTACCGTCAAATCAGATCTGACTGGTACAGGAGGGGATTGTCCCTCCTTCCCCCGCAGAGCATCTGGTGGATTTGAACCGTGCGCCTCTGGGATTGTAGTTGCAGCTCCTTGCCACTAAGCCACCAGCGCTCCGGTATTTCCTGCTTTCAGACAAGGTGCATCTAACATTAGCTATAATATCCCTAGTACCACGGCCTCTTCTAAATCCAGCCTGCACTTCAGGCAGTTCTCTGTTGCTGTGCTATACCAGTTGGTTTAGGAGAATTTTCTGCAGAATCTTGCTTGTATGTGCAATTAATGATATTGTTTGCTAATTTCCATACTCTAGGGGGCCACCTTTCTTTGAAAAGGAACAAAAGTCAGTTGGCAAGGTGGCTGTCCTTCAGATTTCTTGGCACAACTTGGTGAGCACATCCAGGGTAGTGTCTGTTTGTTGAAATATGTCAATTGGTATACCATCAATTTCTGGGGCCTTGTTTTTTACCAATTCTTTCAGAGCCGCTTGAACTTCTTCCTTCATCACCACAAGCTCTTGCTCATACATTGTTTTATGAAATTCTTCTGTGTCCATCAATTCCTTTTTAAATGCTGCCTGGATCATTTATTATTCTGCCCAAAGCATCCCTAAGTATTGTAATTTGAGGCTTGAATTTGTTCTTCGGTTCCTTCAGCTTAAGAAATGCTGATCAAGTTTGGGCCTTTGATTTTCTGACTCCAGCTCTTCGCACATTTCATTATAATACTTTATTTTGTCTTCCCATGCTGCCCTTTGAAATCTTCTGTTCACCTCCTTAATATCTTGATTTCTTCCCTTTGCTTTGGGCTTCTTGATGCTCTAGTGAAATATTCAGAGTCTCTTCTGACATACACATAATATGTTATTGCAGTTATGTGCGGTCAAGTCACCTGCTACTCATAGCGACCCTATATACAACAACCCTAACCCCTGCTCTATCCTGTGCCAATCCTACTGTCTCTGACACATCTGACATCAAAGCTTATAGTTTAAGATTAGGAAAGGAAAGGTCTCATAGCTGACACTTGAGAAGGTTTTCAGAGACTGTAAATCACACAAAAGGAAACTGCCCATCTTTCTTCCATGGAGTCGCTGGTGGATTTGAACCACCAGAGGGGTGCAGCCTTTAGGTTAGCATCAGGCCGCCAGAGGTCCCAGGAAGGAAAGGTAGTGAATAAAAGTATAGGTATCATGCCAAATAACTCATGCCTTGTCTACCTTGCAAGTTCCAGGGCACTGCTTTCCGATGGCTCAAAGAACTTACCCGTAAGTGAAAGGGAGAAAGGCGCACATCATAGAGACGGTGCCCTGCACCCTCAGGGGAAGCAGGCAGCACAGAGACAATGAACTGAAGGGCTTCTCCAACCACATGACAGGACACCACCTTAGGAGAGGAGAGCACATGACATGTTATAAAGGACTCAAGGAGAAGTCATACTGAACCCCTCTTAATAGTTTATAAACTACAGTGGTCTAGTTAGCAATCTGAATTTAAAATTTCAAATTTGGATAAACATTCAGACGTGTATCTTTTCTACTACATGGTACATGAGAACTAGATCTAAATCTGTTCCTCCTGATGGACGGTTTTCTAGGGAGCTAAATATCATGTAACAAATGGTGGAGGGTAAGGCAAGATTCAGATCTGTTTGTTCATAGAGTCGGTCTGAGCCATAGTTGATTTGATGGACTATAGCCTTTTGTATGGATTATATCTCTATATCAAGGGGGAAAAAAGTCCTCCCCACAGGACCAATAGTCAACATCATGATAGATGGAGAAAGGACTGACACTGTCAATGACTTCCCCTTCCTTGGATCAACAATCAACATGCTTGGTACCAGCAGTCAGGAATTCAGGAGACATATTACACTGGACAAGTCCACTGTCAGGACCTCTCCAAAATGCTGAAGAGCAATGATTTAAGTTTTAAGACTAAAGTGTGCCTGATTCAGGCAATGATCCTCTCAACCTGCTACACTTCAGAGAGCTGGACAGTGAATAAGAATGGCTTGTTGTTGTTGTTGTTGTTATGTGCCGTCGAGTCGTTTCCGACTCATAGCGACCCTATGCACAACAGCCCTAAACCCTGCTCTATCCTGCGCCAACC